GGATCTTGTCCAGGCCCTCCTGGCCTAGGCACGGGAACTCCTTGAGCAGACGCACCCTCTCCGTGTAGTACGTCTTCTTGGCCTCCTTCCAGTGCGGCTCCTCCAGCACCTCGAAGATCGCCGCCCCGATGGCCAGGTAGAAGATGATGGCCGAGGTGAGCAGAGGGCCCCGGTCCACCATGGCTCCCGAGCGGCCGCTTCCACCCGCGCCGCCGGCCCCGGTCCCGGCCCCGGCCGCCGCTCCGGGTCTGCCCGCTCAGCGGCTTCTGCAAACAGCTGTTTGAATTTGGAGCTCCGCATGCGCAGTGCCCCGGGCCCCTGCGCCGGCTCCCGGGACCAAAGTTGTTCCACCAAGTTAGCCGGGCTCACTCAGCGCAGGGATCTAAACGGACGCCGCTCACCCCAGCCGGGAGAGTGCACCCCGAAATCTCCGGAGCGTCAGGAACCGGCGGGAAGTGGGGTGGGAGGGCAACTCAAGCCCCAGACTCTGGCAGACACGTGTGCGGCTCCGGCGCGCACCACAGCGAAAGGCGCCCGCCCGCCTCCGCACGGCTCTTTAACCAGCGCTGCGCGCGCTCTGCCCGCCCGCGCCGGGCCCGGGAGTGGGTGGGGCCTGGAGACCACGCCTCCTTTAAACCACGCCCCTGGTTCCAGGCCACGCCCCTCGAGGTGCGCGCTGCAGGAGTTGCGGTCCGCGGGTGCAGTCACCTCGGGGACCCTCGCTCTGCCCGCACCCCCCACCTCCCGGCAGCACCCGCAGAGGTTGCAGCCTAGGGTTGATTATTAGTGTGGCTGTGTATTGGTTACAATGACGTCGCACCGTAGGACTGAGATCAGCAATCTATTTCTATTGCTGTTTTCCATGCCCTGGAATTCTCAGTTACTGATGTTTCTTCAGCTGCTGAGGTGGTGGTTGTTTTTTGCAGTCTCTTTCCTGTCTTCTCACACAGTTTGTTGCTGAAGCTGGGGGACGGGGTTAGAAGAGCTGTGGGCATTTGCCCCCCCCCCCACACACACACCTGTGCAGGCTCCATTCCCCTCCTCACCTGCCCTGCTGAGACCTACAGGCCCAGAAGCCACAGCCCACCAGACCTCCACGCTCACAGGCATGGACTGCTGCCACACTCCTAGACCTATTTCAGATTGCACCCCCCACTACATGCGCGCACACACACACACACACACACACACACACATACAACACTGGAATGTCAGCTGGAGGGCTGGCTGGGTGTGTGCCTGCTGCATCGACATGCTGGGTAAGCAAGGGTGCAGTGGCACAGTGGATAAGTTATGCCCATGCACGCATGCACGCACACATGTACATGCTATCTCTCACCTGTGGCTGCTTTTTCAAACTGTCTCCAGGCAGTACTGTGTGTATTGTATCTTTCCACACATCTAAGCAAGGCATTGCTGCCCATTTCCCAGCAAGGAAACTGAAGTCTTGGCAGGTTACTTAGTTGAATTGGAGGGGGGAGCGTTCCTTTCCCTGCTCCGGACTCACCGGCTTACCCTGACCTCTTGTGACTTTCTGGAGGCAGGTGGGGCAGGGGCCAGAGTCCCTGAACCTCAGAGATCTCCCTCCCCCTCTCCTCCTCCTTCACTTTCTCTTCACGTTCTCCCAGATCCCCTTCTTCCTTTCTCCCCCTTGCACTGAGGCTTGAACTCAGGAACTGAACATTCCCTCTTAGCTTTTTGCTCCAGACGTTTTGCTGTACCATGGGAGCCAAATCTCCATTTCCAGTTTTCTGTTGGTGAAGTAGAGATCGGAGTCTCCCAGATTTTTCTGCTCTAGCTGGTTTTAAACCTGGATCCTCACATCTCAGCTTCCTAAGTAACTCATATGAACGTGGAGGTGTGGCTCAAAGCTGGTAAGGCAAAGCTTTGAACAACAAAGTTCAGGGCTGCGAGTGTGGCTTAGTGGTAGAGTGCTTGCCTCGCATGCATGAAGCCTTGGGTTTGATTCTTTAGTGCCACATAAACAGAAAAAGCCCAAAGTGATACTGTGGCTCAAGTGGTAAAGAGCTATAGCCTTGAGCAAAAGAAGCTCAGGGACAGTGCACGGGCCCTAAGTTCAAGCCCCAGGAGTGGCAAAAAAAAAAAAAGTTCAGAGACAAAGCCCAGGCTCTGAATTCAAACCCCAGTATAGGCGTGAAAACAAGAAAAAAGAAAAGAAAGTTCCAGCCTAGAACACTGAACCCATCCTCCCCACAGCAGGGTAGATAGCCGAGGCTTTCATAAACAAAGACACCCTTGGCTGTTTAAACAACCTAACTCACAGGAGGGGGAAAAGGGGTGAAGTGGGTGGGATATGTATGCTCTTGTCTGATAGACAAATCCACCCCACTGGATTATGTGTATTTTTGTGATTATGCTTCTGTATCAGGGCTGTTAAATCTAAACTCACCTGAGTCCCACCTGGACAAATTGTCAAAATAGATCGTTTGTTTTGATCTAGGTCATATCAGGTCCCTGCCACAAAAGGATCCTCGCCCAGCTTTATTTCTTCCTCATTTCAATTAGGTAAGGCGATTATCCTTGCAGTAAAATAAACATTTGAGGGCTGGAGATGGAGCTCCAAGGTAGAGTGCTTGCCAAGTATATTTTTTAAATATACCTGCAATGGCCAGGCACCTGTGCCTAACACTTATAATCCTAGTTACTCAGGAGGCTGAGATCTGAGGATTGCAGTTCAAAGCCAGCCTGGGCAGGAGAGTTCCTGAGACTCTTATCTCTAATAAACTACTCAGAAAAAGCCAGAATTGACACTGTGGTTCAAGTGGTAGAACGCTAGCCTTGCTGGGCACTGGTGGCTCATACCTGTAATCCTAGCTATTCAGGAGGCTGAGATCTGAGGATCACAGTTCAGAGCCAGCCTGAGGAAGGAAAGTCTATGAAACTCTTTTTTTTTTTTTTTTTTGGTCAGTCGTGGGGCTTGAACTCTGGGCTCTTCAGCTCAAGGCTAGCGCTCTACCACTTGAGCCACAGCACCACTTCCGGCTTTTTTCATTTTGCTTATGTGGTGCTGGGGAATTGAACCCAGGGCCTCATGCATGCAAGGCAAGCGCTCTACTACTGAGCCACCTTCCCAGCCCCTATGAAACTCTTATCTCCAATAAACCACCAGAAAACCAGAAATAGCGCTGTGACTCAAGTGGAAGAGCGCTTCCCTGGAGCTGAAGAGCTGAGGAACAGCTCTCAGGCCCAGAGTTCAAGCCCCACAATCGACCAAAAAACAACACAAAAAAACCCACGCTAGCCTTGAGCTCAGAGAGGCTCAGGGACAGAGCCCAGGCCCTGAGTTCAAGTCCCAAGACCGGCAAAATGAAAAAGAAAGAAGGAGGAAAAAGCTGGACACAGAGGCTCATGCCTGTCATCCTAGCTACTAAGGAGGCTGAGATCTGAGGATGGAGATTCAAAGCCAGCACAGGCAGGAAAGTCTCTGAGACTCTTATCTCCAATTAACCACCAGAAAACCCAAGTGGAGCTGTGGCTCAAGTGATAGAGTGCTAGCCTTGAGCTGAAGAGCTCAGGGACAGCGCCCAAGCCCCAGAGTTCAAGCCCCAGGACCGACAAAAAAAAAAAGAGAGAGAGAGAAGAAAAGAAAGAGAAAAAAGATCCATGAAGAATAGAAAGGGGTTCAATATCACAATTGCTTGAAACTCTATTTCCTTAATAAAATAAAGCTCTATAACTCTCAACTCAAAAGTTCAATGTGTTCTATTTTTATTTTTGTTCTCCTATTGGAATCATATTGAACTACTTACAACATTTCTTGCTTTATGAAAGCCTACACTTATTTTATGAAGTTGCTCTATTCAGTGAGTCATTTGGAAACCTAAGAGAAACTATTAAATTTCCATGTGTGCATCTATTCTCTAACTTGTTCACTTAGAAAGATTTCAGTGTACATGCTAATATAAGCTTCTTGATTTATTATTTATCTATTTGTGTGTGTGTGTGTGTGTGTGTGTTAGTACTGGAGCTTGAACTAAGGCACTGGGCACTGTCCCTGAGCTTTATCACTAACGGCTAGTGCTCTACGACTTGAGCCATAGCTAAGATTTATGGCTTTTTTTGGATGATTAATTGGAGATAGGAGTCTCATGGACTTTTCTGCTCAGGCTGGTTTAGAAAGGCAATCATCAGATCTCAGCCTTCAGAGTAAATAGGATTACAGGTACAAGCCATAGGGGACTAAAGTTTTTGTTGTATAGCAAGAAAACACCAGGTACTAGAGACTCACACCTGTAATTTATCTACTCTGGAGGCTGATATCTGAGAATCAAGATTTGAAGTCAACCATGGGCAGGAAAGTCTGGAAGACTCCTATCTCCATTAACCACCAAAAAGCTGGAAGTGGAAGTGTGTTCAAGGGGCTGACACCAACCATGAGCAAAAAAGCCAAGCCATAGTTGACGCCTTGAGTTCAAGCCTCAGTATTCTCTCAAACATACTCACACACACAATTATAGAAAGAAAAGACTGGCAGAACAAAATAAAAATCACAGAGCAATAAAATTGTTCTATTAAAAAAGCTATTGAGGGCTGGGAAGGTGGCTCAGTGGTAGAGTGCTTGCCTTGCATGCATGAGGCCCTGGGCTCAATTCCTCAGCACCACATAAGCAAAAAGAAAAAAGCCAGAAGTGGCGCTGTGGCTCAAGTGGTAGAGTGCTAGCCTTGAGCTGAAGAGCTGAGGGACAGCGCCCAGGCCCAGAGTTCCGGCCCCACGACTGGACCCAAAAAAAAAAAAAAAAAAGCTATTGAAGGGCTGGGAATGTGGCTTAGTGGTAGAGTGCTTGCCTAGCATTGAAGCTCTGGGTTTAATTCCTCAGTACCATGTAAGCAGAAAAAATCCCAAAGTGGTGCTGTGGCTCAAGTGGTAGAGTGCTAGCTTTGAGCTAAAGAAGCTCAGGGACAGTGCCCAGGCCCAGAGTTCAAGCCCCAGGATTAGCAAAAAAAAAAAAAGCTATTGAGCTGGGTGCTGATGGTTCATGCCTATAATCCTAGCTACTCAGGAAGCTGAGATCTGAGAACTATGGTTCGAAGCCAGCTCTCACAGGAAAGTCAATGAGACCCTTAGCTCCAAACTAGAAGTAGAGAAGTAGAGCTATGGCTCAAAGTGGTAGAGTGCTAGCCTTGAGTGAAAGAGCTCAGGGACAGCGCCCAAGCCCTGAGTTCAAGCCCCATGACCAACCAAAAAAAAAAGGAAATTCTCAGGCATGGAACAACATCAGATATGGGTCTTGACAATACTAAATGAGAGAGGGCAGTCATACACACGCGCACGCGCGCGCGCACGCCTGCGCGCGCGCACACACACACACACACACCTGGGCACCTACTCACACACAAAACCAAGCCTGCATGAATCCACTTATACAATTTTTTTTTTAAGTAATCAAACTTATAGAAAGAACATTCATGGTTTTTCTTCCTAGAAACTGGGAGAAAAGTGGAGGGGGGAGGGGGGAAATTGTTACATAATGATTATAAATGGGTATAAAGTTTCAGTTTTGCAAGAC